TTTCCTTAAAGTGAAACAACACATTCAGAGGATGGTTCATCTTAACCATGAGAGCTTCTTAGTTTGAAGCAGGTTTTTATTTGCGTCACTCTCACGAGGTTCTGCTGTGTAACGTGGCTAAAAGAAAGGTTTAGATCAGGACCAGATACCAACACATTTGATTGGCTCGCTGACAGCCCAACAAAGCCTGATTTAAAATCTGTCTATCTGACATTTCTTTAAAGAGCAGTTTGTTCTCTGGGTTTGCATAGTTCAGATTATGGCACTACACTTTCCAGCCGTCTCACTCACATCAACACAAGGACACTGACCCTGGAGCTTCACTGAACCAGTCAAAGGAGAGACGGCTTTTTCTTTCACTCCTTTTATAGAATAACAACATGTAGCTGCGTCTAATAAGAAGGCCGAGTACATCCAGTAAAGTCACTGTGGATGTAAACGTTTTCATGGGAGCTTATTGTGAAGCTCTGTGACTCCATCTGGAGACGAATGACTGGAAAACCTGCAGATAAACTCGTGGTAAGTTGTCAGATGTTAAATCACTCCTCAAATCCTTAAACAATCCTCAGTTATTATTTTAGCCAGTTACTGTATGTTTGTCTGTTCAGTTCTCTACATTCTAATGGTTTCATTAAATTATGGTTTGTTTCATCTTTATAAAATACTTTATGAAGTGGCAGCTTAAAAATATTTTCCTACATTTTCTTCTCAAGAATCTCCTGCTGCCATTTGGGGCAACATCACTCTGATCTATGAGAAAAGTTTTAGTTAACTCGTCTTTGATTAGTGGATTTATAATCATGGATGTAATGTGAGCACATCTTATAATGAATTCCCAGGTTTCAGTGGTCTGCTGGGGAGGACAGAAGGAGACTGAACAGGCTGGTGAGGAGGGCCGGTTCTGTCCTGGACTGCTCCCTGGACCTCCATAGAGGAGGTGGGTGAGAGGAGGATGTCGGCAACGCTCACATCCCTCATGTACTGACCGGCTGCATGAGACTGTGGAGGCTCTAAGCAGCTCCTTCAGCAGCAGACTGAGGCATCCACCCTGCAAGAAGGATGCAGGTCATTCCTCCCAACTGCAGTAAGACTGAACAGCATCAGCATCACTGACTGATGTTAACCAAACAAACACCAGTTTACATTCATTTTTTGCACAAGACACCCAACACTGAAGGCACACATAAAATATAAAACAAAATATAGAATTTAAAATAAAAATAAGATAAATAAATGGGTACCCAGTGTGCAAAGATGGATTTTACATAAAGTGCCATAGTTATGCAGCCATGTGGTTTTATTGCACATTATGAAGTGTGATGGCAGCTGACAGGAAGGACCTCCTGCTGCGTTTGTCATCTTGTGCACATACTTACTTTATTCCTTAATCATTGTTATGTCCTTGTACTTTATTTTGGATGCTGCTGTGGATGGACATTCCCCCAATGCAAGTAAAAATTCTTCTGTTCTATTCCCCTAGATAATAAAAGCTGGTGATCAACCCTGAACTCATCACGGCTCCACAAACATCTCAACATGGAGTCCTGGCGGTCACGTGACCGCAGCAGAGGCGCAGAATAAACGCGCGCTGAGAGTTTCCCTGATTTGGCCTCAAAGTGCACCAGAGGACACATGGAGCTCTCAGCTGCCGCCGAGACGCGCCTGGGACGCAGCGCGCATGATCACAGCGGAGATGAACGTGGACACAGCTGCGCTTCTCTCCTCACATGCGGATACAAATCAGTTTAACAATGAGCTTTAACTGAGTTTGTTTACAAGAAGTACAGTTTAGCAGGAACCTAGGATGGAGTCGGAGGAGAGTCAGATCTCAGTCTGGGTTTGTCGAGAGGAGAAGCTGGTCCTCGGCTTGTCAAAGCGCACGACCTGCGCGGATGTTGTCAAAGTGCTTCTGGAGGACCAGAACTCGCAGCACGGCCTCTCCACGGCGCAGTCCTACTGCATCGTGGAGAAATGGAGAGGCTTCGAGAGGATCTTGCCGAACAAAACCAAGATTTTACGGCTTTGGGTCGCGTGGGGGGACGAGCAGAGGAACGTGAAGTTTGTGTTGGTGAAGAGCGAAGCGTCTCTGGCGAACCACGGAGCCCGGAGCGCAGAGGCGCGTGTGGTGCTCAGCAAACAGAGCCCCTGTGTTACCAAAGGCACCGCACGGTCTGCCATGGGCGGCATCTGCCCCGAGAAACAGCGGCGGATTGTTCGGAAAGCTTTCAGAAAGTTGGAGAAGATCAACAAGAAGAGGGCGCAGACGGCGCACAGAGACGCGTCCTGCGCGGAGAAGATGGAAACTCTGGTTCATCTTGTTGTTTCCCAGGATCACACAATCCGCCAGCAGGTTCAGAGGATTAAGGAGCTGGACTCAGAGATCGAGAGGTGCGAGGCAAAGGTGCACTTTGACAGAATCAAGAGGCACGGGGTCAATTATGTGCAGAACACGTATCTGGTGGACGCAGCTTCCAGCCAACAGGGACAGCAGCTGTGTCCACCAGAGACTCTGGCCCAGTTGGAGGAGCATGTCCGGCAGTGCGAGGAACTGGTTCAGCTGCATGAGGAGCTGCGGGAGCAGGAAGCCCTCATAGACGGGATCACGGCGCAGGTCCAGGAGGAGCTGAACCACCGCTGGATGCAGCGCAGGACAGAGGAGCTGCAGAGCAAAGACTCAGAGCCCGGGGATGGAGCAGCATCCCTCCCCAGCGCACAGGCACACACAGCATCCCACAATGAGCTGCTTTTGGAAGGAGAGCGGATCAAAACGCAGCTCGATGCGAGTTTGTACATCGGCCTGCGCCTCAACACGGATTTAGAGGCTATTAGGAGCGATTTAGAGCTGACCCAGCAGATTTACGGGGCGAGGGAGAAGGAGATGAGGGATTTGCAGGAGAAAGTCAACACTTTGGACATGGAGGAAGGGACGGGCGGCGAGCAGGGACCAGAGACAGACCATAAGGTGATGAGCACTTTGGAGAGGAGAGGCGGGTGGGTGGAGCAGGCCAGGGGTCTGTCCAAAGCGCACAGTGTGGCCGACGACGACTCGGACACCGGCTTGAGCTCTCTGCACAGCCAGGACTCAGACAGCCTCCCAGTGTGGGAGTCACTGGTTTAGGCTCATGTGACTGTTTGTCAGTTTGCAAAAAGAAAAAAAAATCTGCAGTCTCAGGGATCCAAAGTAGACAAAAACATCAACATAATGCTTCCACAGGAGGGATGGAGGGTTTGTAATGTGTGTGTGGGATCACAACAGCCCCCATATGGTCTGAAAGTGGTTTACACTTTGACTCAGTTAATCCTCACCAACAAAGCTGTTTGACATCAAAATAAATGTTTTGTAGCTGGACTGCATTTGCTTCTCTTTTCTTTTTGCTCTATAAGAAAACTGCAGACATTTGAGCCCTTCAGTCTGCAGGGTTCAACCTGATTTAAAACACCTCAGAGGCAGCAGGGAGCCGAAACACAGCGTCACCGGTCTGGAGGGTGACTCTGCAGATGTTGAACACCATCATCTGAAGCTTCACGGCGACCCAGACACCAGGAGATAACAGAACCACTTCACTGTGAATCAGAAAGTCATAATAACATCTGGAGTCAAAACAGAGACACAAAGCTCCAGTCAAAGGCCTCGTCTCCGTCCTGGTGACTCACGGAGCAGCGACGACCTTCCTCTCAGATGATAAGCAGACGTTGTGTTGTTGTCAAATCTGAACAATGCCATCAAAGTTTGGAGTCAGCAGCACACAGACTCCATGTTTTATATGGTTTTGATGTTTACTTCCCCAAATGAGAACATGTTGAAGCAGCTAAATGTCTCTGCAGAGGAAACTTGATGTGTTTAGAGGTTTGGTTCGGATCACTGGTGAGGTTCTAACTTCACAACAGTCTGACTGATTGGATAACGGTTTTTATCTTTTTAAAACACAAACTACTTTGGTGTAAGAACCCAAATTTTCACAGTTTGGTGTCAATTTAAGTTCTTAAATACAAAAACTGTGCCTTAAAATATTATAAATGGATATTGTTTTCTACTTTCATGAGTGATTTATTTCACCCAACGTCAGTCTTGATCATAATGACCAAATGTAGACTTTCAGAAAACTATTATTTTGTTGTTGTTTGCTTGAGATCATCTCAATCAAACTTCAGACCGGATGTGACCCAGACAGAGAGACAGACAGGAAGCTGCATCAGAACCAACGTAGTGAATTTAAAGTTATTTTTATAAAAGCTAATTGAAAAAATGCGCAATATCAGATCCAATAAGAGGCCGAGGCTGTATTCTAAACTAACCGAAGAGCCCTTGTGTTGTAAATGGTACTGACAGGATGCAGAGACCGGTTCTGATCACAGCGGATCGGACCTCAGTCATAACGGGTCTGAATCAGTGGCTGCAGCTCTGAGCCTCCTGTTGGCCGTGAGTTTATGTAAAACTAATTCTAGGTTCAGCTCCAGAGAATAAAAACACACACGAACATTAGAGGCCGTGTTGAGTTTCCGCCCTCGATAAACCCGCCCGTGTTCTGCTTTATGACTGAGAACACGGTGATACACAAGACAGCACAAAGGTATACATTACTGCCTTTGTCCAGACACTTCAGGGCTGTATTGAAACGCTCCAAAGCAAAGAGAGAACAGAAGATGTGCTCAATGTTTTCTCAGCAGATAGAGTGACGGACTGACAGAAAACATTAGAAAACTTTGAGGATCGTTTGGGGTAAAGTCTCTGTTCCTGCTGTGATGTTAGCATTTAGCATCGCAGGTATTTCCACTCTGGGTGCTTGTAGTTTGTCATTTTAAAGACTAATTTTTATATATTTGATCTATATTGGACCTGAGCAGCAGAGACAGAGAGGAGATGTGGAGGAAAAGATCAGAGCAGTGACATGCAGGAAGGTCCGGGCCGCTGGGAATCGACCCGATGACTCGCTGCTCACGGCGTTTGAATTCGTTTATCATTTGAAGTTACTGACAGCCACCTTGTGATCATCCCTACAGTCCCTACTCCCTAAAAACAAATGTTCAGGCTCGAAAAATGACAAAAATAATGCCACAGTTTGCATCAGTCTCTCTGAGTTATGACAACTTCTAATGAAATAATGTTTAACGAGTTAGTTTCTCCTCGTTAATTGGTGGTATTTTAAAACTAGGAAGTGTCCAAGAAAAGCTTTTGATGTTCCAGATAAATAATAAAATAACTTTTTAAAAAAAACTGGCTGTTCAGCAGAATAATTTCAGTCTAGACTAGAAAGCGACCGACAGAAACGATACACGTTCTGAACACGTACTGAGTGTGTTTGTAATTCCTCACGCTGCCAGAAGGGGGGAGACAGAAGGTTCACATCGTAGGTTTAAGCGTTAAGTGGAGGAACCTAACGGCATCATCTAACAACATCCTCTACTGCTGTTGTTAAATCACATGACAGCATAGTGCAGGTTTGTGTAAAATGACACCATGTGGTAGCCTCGTTGGTTATTAGTTTAACAGCAACGGCGCTAAAACTGCGACATGCCAACGTTCTTGGTCCTGTTCTGTTCTACTAGCACGTGTCCACGTCCTGCTATTCGCAAGCTTCATTTGCTTTGTACATGAAAACAGAAGGTGGCTCGGTGGTCAGCATCATCATTATACACGTGTGTGTAATGACATGAAGGAGCACGCTCAGGACACGGACTCACAAAAAAGAGAGAGTAAATAGAAGTTATAACAACAATAAAACCATGTAGAACAACAGACCCGTTCCACTCAGGTCATCACCTCTTTGACCTGCTGCCCTCCAGCTGGCGCTTCAGGTCTCTAAGCACCAGAACATCCCGGCACCGGAGCAGCTTCTTCCCTCATGAACAGCCAGTAAACCAGTAAAGACTCCTGTTGACTCCATTACACCACTCCATCACCACTGCATGTGCAACTCCTCAACTTCAGGTGCAACAATCTAAAACATCACACTCAGTCATCAGTACCACATGTAACCAGGCTAGTTCACGCCTAAAACACTTGGTTTGGTTCTGGTGGTTAAACTACTCGGTTAGCTCCAGGAAAAGATCACAATTAGTTTAATTATTTTCTCGGTTGTTTGGGCGACAAATCCTGTCACCAGAACATCCCTAAAAACTGTCAACAGCTCGCTCACAGTTTTTCATCTTTGCTGTGAAAATAACACGTCGTCGGTGTGAGACTGCTGGAGGTGAAGCTCTAGTCCGGTTAAATCACCTCTGATGAGGAAACAGAGACGTTTCAGTTTGTCTTTGTGATTAAGAGAATTTTCTTTGCAGCTTCAGAGAGCAGCAGCTCTGTTAAAGCGCTGCAGGCTGATAAACCACAGCAGCTCTGATGTTTCTGTACGTTTGTCTCGCTTTGGCTTCACACGGAGGAAATGAAAAGATGTGAAGTTTGGATTCTGATACAGGAGAGAAATTAGAGTTAAAACTAAATTATTTTTATTGATGAACTGATAGAAAAAAAATTGATGAAAATAATCGACAATTAGCAACTAATTGATGAATTGATAGATTAATTGTTTAGTGTTTAAAAAAAGTGACAAAACTGTCTTAAAATAATACTTCTAAATTAAACACTGCTACTAATACTACTACTGCTGCTACAACTACTACAACTACTAATACTAGTATTACTTCTGCTACTGCATTAAGGTATGCCAAATATTACAAATCAATAATAAAATATTTCAAAATGACAAAAAAATAATCAATAAAAACTGCTAAAGGCAATAAAATACTAGAATAAAACAACAGAAACCACAAACATCACATGTGTCTGTACAGAAGGGTTTTTAAAACGTTTTTTAGGGTTTTTAAAACGTTTCTGAACTGATTGATCAGTAATATTTATGAGCAGCAGTGATGCCGGTCTGTCTGCAGCCTGGACGGTGGAACTACGTTCTGCAGCGATCATCAGCTTCTCTCTTCACACGTGTAAACGATGGCAGCCGGACAGCAGAGTTCAGAGAGAGTTTAGTGAGAAAAGAAAGCAGGGAGGAGGACATGTGCCTCCCAGTCCCAGAGGAAAACTGTTCATCAGCGGCTCCACCGACATCACAAACGTTCTGCTGCTTAAACCTGCTGGAAGACAAAAATCTGAGACATCAAATAAAGCAAAATATGACAAAATATCCTCACTTTCCCACAACGTCTAAGGTCTGAAACGGAAGCTGGTCGTTACAAAACAGAAACACAAGAACACGCCTGCACACAAGCCACCTTAAGTGTCTTTGTCTGAATTTAGGGCGACGTGATTGTGGGACCGGAGGAGGTACCGAGTTACACGCTGGCCGCCCTCCGCCTCCCGACGGCGGCGGCGGCGGCCTCCTGTGTGTCGCCTCTCCCTCGTGGCTCTTTTCATTTTTTGCAGCGAGGAGCATAAATTAGCACGACCTGATAGAAGCAGCTCTTTATGTGTACGGTGCTCTCAGAGGAAAACAGGAGTGCATTCCTCTTCTTTTGTTTCACTCCCTGCGTGGAGTGTTTCCCACATCGCTGCATAAATGTCAAGTTCTGATTATGTGGAGTTTCCCCAGAACTTTGGAGCCGCCTGAGAGCAGAACCAGGAATCTGAAGTGGCCTCCTCTCCAGCGTTCTGCTGAGTCGGCCTTATTAGAGAGACAAAAGGCTGCGAGGAATGTCTGAATATGTTTCTCTGCAGCCAGAGCCTCGTCGTCTCTGATAAAACAAGATTCTGTGTTTTGCTACGACTTCCTGACACGCACATAAACTCACACCCCCGTGTACGCTAACAGACCCAGAGAAAGAAAACGTCACGGTCTTTGTTCGGAGGTCGTCGCAGAGTTCACAGGTCGCATCAGCGGAGGTTAAAGCCGGCGGAGCATCGCTGCCATCTGACTCCTTCTGCTGGGGGTCACGGAGGGCAGCAGTGGGGAAGCAGGAGCCGATGGAGGGAGCACACTCTGAGCAACAGGAGCTCCGGGCGGCCGGAGCAGAGGGTTCTGAACCGCCACTAAATCATTATGTCACTCGAGTTAAGTCAATAAAGAGCCGTGAGACGCTCTCCACGCATCAACTCCACAAGAATATCCTCTTCAGGGGAGGATTTCACGTGTCAGCGGGCGGCGTGTTTACAGAAACGCTGATGATTCAATTAAAGCATCATTTGGGAATTCCTCTTAGCTCGAGTAGGTCGTCTTACAAATTAAAGGAACATTCCTCCGTCACCGGTCAACATATCGTAGATCAATCTAAAACATAAAACTCAGAGCAGATGGAAACCTGTGGAGGAACGAGAAGCCAGGAGTTAGCTTAATGCTAAACACTCTACATGCAACACATCAGATGTTTTCTATGTAAAAAAGCACGG